TTAAAAGAGATGTGTGAGGCACATTTTTCACACAAAGGGTGGTGAGTGTCTGGAACATGTTACCAGAGGAGATAGTGGAAGCAGACACAAAAGTAGCATTCAAGGAGCATCTGGATGAATACATGAATAGGAAGGGAATAGAGGGATATAGATCCTGTAAATGAAGGCAGTTTTAGCATGGATGGGCAAAATGCGGTGGCACAGGCTTGGAGGGCCAAAGGGCCTGTTCCTGTACCGTATTATTCTTTGTTCTTTGTTCTGTGATGGGGCTTATTATTGCATTCCAGGATGGTCTCGGAAGAGTGAGCAGTTTTGGCATAGGAAAGCAGGCCCCAATATTGCTTTTATGTGGTCTAGCAAGATCTGGTGATAAGCTGCTAAACCAGTTGTCTTCCATGTCTATTCAAGCTATTGTCTCAAAGATTTTGGGAGCTGGACCAGGGTGATACTCAGGAGAAAAGCAACAATGACAGAGTGTTGATGGCATTGGGTACTAGGGTATCAAATGAGAATGTGGTTAAGCAAATTAATAGTTGTAGAATGCTATAGCAAATGGAGATGTAAAAACAAGACAATTGAAATTTCAAATGACCAGTTGTAAGAGAATTGTAAGAGGTACGGGTTTTCTCCAGGGCAGACACTGAAAAACATAATGTTGGAAAAGGAACAGGGGTGATGTAGGATAGTGATTCAAGGAAGAGATCGGAGATATCCTTAACGGTGATTGATAGGTTGGAAGTAATGACAGCATGTAACAAGAAAGTCAAAGGTGAGGCTGTGCTGTGATGCAGGGTTGAGGAGTTTAAATGGAGAGCATGTTTAAGGGAGGATGAAAGGACAGTGAATCAAAGATGAGAGAATATGAATTGAGGTGGAGGTTGAAATTGCTGAGCAATGGAAAGTTGTTTGGTGCAGAGGCGGAAGAATGTAGCAACTATTTCATGGTGAAAAAGGTTTTATCTTACTCTTAGGAATATTGTTTAAATCAAAGGCTGAAAATCTTGCACTGAGTATGGACAGATTTCTGATGTGCCCTATTCCATCTAAAGCTCAAAATTGCAAAGCGACCACATATAGAATCAGTACTTGATACAATATGCTAACAGAGCAGAGATTTGCAGTTTTGACTGTTGGTTTCATCATGTAGCCTAGCTGTACAAAAAAAAGACTTAAGTCTTCCTCTGTACTTATACTGGTCTCAAAGCATGACTGCATTTGGTGGTGGCAGAAAATTGGAAAGAAATGTTGCCACCTTTAAAATTTTCTGTTGAGTGATCATTATCATCAGTGGTCCCTCGCAGATGAGGATGACTCTCTTCTACTCTCAGAGTGAATCCAGAGGTGACTGTAAAGACCGATGCAGTTATCACTTGGGACAGGTGGATGGTCATGGAAGGGATTGATTGGGCATTGGTGTGGTAGCGTGCTGCTTTTGCTGTTTTTGCCTGGCTTCCATTTTTTCCCAACAGAAATTCTCAAGGTGCTCGATGCCTTCCCAGAAGCTTTGGATGGTCTTGGCCCAGTGATATCTAAATGTGTGTAGGAATGCTGCACTTCACCACTGGGGCCTTGAGGGTATCACTGAAGCGTTTCCTGTGTCCACCTGGGGCTTTCCTACTGTTTCGAAGCTGGGAGTAGAGCACGTGCTTGTGTCGGTCATATGGATGATGTGCCCAGCCCATCATAGCCGATCAGGGTGGTCAGCACCTTGATGCTGGAGATGTTGGCTTGGTCTTGGTTGAGGACGCTGGTGTTGGTGTGTCTTCCTTCCCAGCAGATTCACAGGATCTTGCGCAGGCAGCATTGGTGGTACTGCTTCAATGCCTTGAGGTGTCTGCTGCAGACAGTCCACGTCTCAGAGCCATATAGACGGGCAGAACCACCACTGTTCTGTAATCCAGGATCTTGGTGTTGGATCTGATGTTGTTGTTCACGAACATCCTTTTATTCAGGTGGCGAAGGCTGTGATACCCACTGGAGATGATGCTGCATCTCTTCATCAATAGCTGCTTAGGCTGACAGGACACTTCCAAGGCATTAGAAGTGGTCATTTTTCTCTAGGATCTCCCTGTGGATCCTGATGACTGGGGGTTTGTTCCACAATGCCAGGCTAGGTAGATGTGATAATAGGTTTCTCTATGATAGAGAGAAAAGAGCATTTAAAGATTAACCCTTCCCTCCCAAAAGGAATCTAATTAATGCCAATCTTTTGGTCCAATAATTTAAAAATTTGAATTTATTTTGTTCTGCTGCCCTGAAGGTGGCATGATAAGGAGGAGCCTTGGACCCTCATCAATAATTCACACCCTCCATTACATTTCACAGTTCCCTAGAACATGATACAACTCTGCAATACATCCACATGCATGCAACTCATGTTGCAATCTCAACTGTAGAAGATAAAGGATTTAATTGAGGTCTTTAAATTGATTAAAGAGTTGATAGGATTGATAAAGAAACTACTTCTTCACATGGAGTGCCCTCACAAAAAGAAGTACAGCCTGAAAAACATAGCTAGACCATTCAGGGTGATGTAAAGCTGATGTTATTGTTGGACAAGTCAGTTCCCAGACTGAAATCTGGCTTGATAGATCATACTTTGCTTTATTTGGTTTTAATAAAATCGTATTTTCACAGAAACACAACACACAATGTTGCGTACTTGGATTTTACAATTAAATGGTAATTTATTAAATGTAAGAAATAAGAATCAAAATAGTAAGAACCAAACTATTTACGTATAACACAAGTTTGAGGATTTTAAACATTCAGCAAAATACAATCCCATTAATCCCAAATCCCCTCTTTTACAGTAGTTATACCAGGGAGAATTTTCTTCTCTTCCACTTCTATAGGAATTAATTTAACAATGGCTACAATTTCCCGTCTTGAGAATTTGATGCCCTCTTCTTTCAACTTTCATATAAGTAAACATAGTCATTCTCAGCTTTAAATAACTCTTTCAGGGTTGTAAGCAAACACTTCTCATCTGGAACTTGCAAAATTATACTGCTTTCACTGAAGTAACCTATTTCTTAACAGTCCTAAATAATCTGCTTTTGTCAGAGGTATCTGTTTTGCCCATCCTGTTTCTGCCAAACTAAAACCCACAGATGTTCGTTCCAAGTTATAAGTGTTTCTCCTAATCAAAAGAAACAAATCAATCCCTATCCATACAAACTGAATGCGTTACACACTGGACTGTTTATTCACTCACAACTAGCCCAATTAAAACGAAAGCCCATTACACACCAGGAACAGTCTCTCCCACCATAGCTACACATAAATACTTACAAGTTAATCATTAAACCCCTTCAGACACAGAGACTAAAACCCACAAGCCATTAGTTCAAATCCAAACTCTAAATTAAATGATATTAAATACATAAATCATACATTTTACACAAGAAAAGCTTCTCACAAAAGATAGTAAAAAGCTTGAATCCTTTTGACTGTTGAGGCTGATGAAGTTAAAAATTTCAAAGGAACACTGACAGAATTTTGGCAAATAGGATAGATGACAGTTAGAAGTTTGTGGCTGAAGAAGTCCAAGACTAGGCAGAAAATCTAGGCTGGCTGATGTGCCTGTTCACGACTGAGGAAATGCTGCAAAAGGTGCCATCTGAGGCAAATGCAAAAGACCCCATGACGCTTTTGAAGAAGAATGGGGGAATTCTCCTGGTGTTATGGTCAATGTTTATCTCTCAAGCAACACTACTGTAAAGCAGATTATCTGGTCATTGCAACCTTTTTGTTTGTGAGGTTATGCTGTGAAATAATTGCCTGTGCACTTTCTACAATAACATAAGTAATTACAATTAAAAAGTACTTCAGCTGTAGAACATTCTGGGATATCCTGAAATTGTAAAGGTACATAATACTTTCTCTTTCTGTCACTTCACCTTAAAGTTCTCTCATATTGCATCTCATGTAAATCCATATCTCAGTTAGTTCATATGGAAGATACAATAGAAATCCTCATCTCACTTACATCCTTCATAGAATTTATGCAGCAAAGCTCTGCAACATTTGAGGGCTCTTATGATGCAGTGGTAGTGTCTTTTCTCTTGGCCCAAAAGGCCTGGGTTCAAGTCCCTCTTGCTCCTGAGGTGTGTAATAACATCTCTTATCTGGTTGATTATATAATATCAAGCACTGCAATGTGACTCCTGATGTTGGCCTCCTGCATCTGATGAGAACAGAAGATGTGGGAAGTCTCTCCACAAATCTATCAGTATTTTGGTGCAACATTCCATTTCTGCAACCCACAGAAAACCTCTGCAACTAACTGGTACATAGATGCAGCACCACATTGACATTGGGCAGTGATGTCATGGTATGAAGGAAGAAAGGGGGTAAAGAACAATGCAAGAGAAAGAGGAGAGGAAGCAAGAAATTTTCATTTATATCATGCCTTTCATTTATAGGGATGCCCCAAAGAAGTTGCAGACAATTAATTAATTTTCGAAGTATAGTTAATGTTGTAATATAGGAAATGTGGCAGCCAATTTGCACACATCAAAGTTTCATAAATAGCAGTGAGACAAATTACCAGATCAACCATTCTTGTTGTTGGTGAGAGATAAATATTGATCAGGATCAATGAAACTGTTAGAAACTGAATGACACATGTTACCTGTTTGAGCTATCTGTGTTTTTTGATATTCAGCACTAGTCGGCAATAAGCCACAGCAGCCATGGGCGAAAGTTCTTGTCAACAGGTGGCAGTACTGTACCTATTTTGCTCATTTACTGTAGATATCAATGCTGTGCCAGGTCAACCCAGGTTAAATTGTTCTTAACAACAGACATGTAGGTGTTCCAAGATCTGCAGATGTAGTCACTAGTCTACATTGAGAAATATCTAACCCTATCGCAGGATCACAAGGTACACCCAATCATGCCTGTGGAATTTTATCTCTGAGATGAAACGTTTATTTGCTTTGGGATAAATAGATATATCAGAAACAGAATCTAAACTCAACATCTTTTACTTGCAGACATTGCCTTGTCTGAAAAATAATCAACAAGCAGCAAGATTCTACGGGCTGCCTAGGGTACACAAGTCTGACATACTCCTCAGACCAATTGTGGCTCTACCAGGAACCCCATCACACAAATTAGCAAAGGAACTACAACAAAAGCTTAAACATCTAATCAGTAGTTCAAGACACTCCATACAATCAACAGAAGAATTTCTGGACAACGTGAAGAACACAAAAATAGACAAAGAAGAAGTGATAGTCTCATTCGATGTCACAGCATTGTTTACATCAATCAACAGAAATCTAGCCAAGGAAACCAGACACGCAACAGGCGACAGAACGAGGAACAGATCAACAAACACTGCATACTTAAACTACAGGACCTATGCTTAACAACCCACTTTACATTCAACAGCAGGATATATGAGCAGATCAACGGGATGCCCATGGGCTCACCCATCTCTGGACTGATAGCTGAGGCAGTCATGCAAAGACTGGAACAAACAGCCCTCCCAAAGATCCAACCCAAGCTCTGGATCAGATACGTGGATGACACTTCTGTAATTATAAAAAGAACAGAAATTGAGAACAGCCACCAACTCATCAACACCATACTCCCAGGAATCAAATTTACAAGAGAGGAGGAAAACATCAACAAATTCCCATTCCTGGACATGGTGGTGGAAAGAAAAGAGAATGAAGACTTCACTACAAAAGTATACAGGAAATCCACACATACCGACCAGGTCTTAAACTATCACAGCAACCACCCCAACTCACTCAAGAGGAGCTGCGTTAGGACCCTGTTCAAAAGGGCCACTACACACTGCAGCACACCTGATCTGCAGAAAGAAGAAGAACACCTCTACAAGGTCTTTACCAGGAATGGATACCCCCGCATCTTCATCCACAGAGGCCTAGCTGACAGACAAAACAACCAGGACTCACCAAAACCCGAAACAATAGCCACCATACCATATATAAAAAAAATCTCAGAACTGACAGCCAGACTACCCAGACTGCTAGAAATCATGACAGCATGCAAACTAGCAGCCACACTAAGACAGCAACTAACCAGGGTTCAAGACCCAATAGATACTATGGACAAGACGAATGTAGTTTACAAGGTACCACGCGGAGACTGCACAAAACACTACGTGGGAGAAACAGGCAGACAGCTAGCAACCCACATCCACGAACACCAACTAGCAACTAAATGGCATGACCAGATGTCCTTGGTTGCAATACACACAGACTGGAAAAACCACATTTTGAACTGGGACAACACTGCTATCATTGGACAAGCTAAACAGAGGACAGCCCGGGAATTCTTGGAGGCTTGGCATTCATCTACGGACCCCATCCACAAACACATTGAATTAGACCCAATGTACTGACCATTACAACGCACAACCAGAACTGGCACCTACCGGAAGCAGCAGAAACCGAACCAGATAAATTTGAACTGGCACAAGACAACAGCGCTTCACAGGAGGCTCCACAGCACTGAGGATGTCATCTAGTAAGGGGACAAAACATCAGCTATCAAACCACCCAGCTCATCAAACACACCAACATCTACAACCAGCCCCCAAGCTACAAACCTTTACTCAAACCCTAAAATGAATCAACAAGCTGTGCATTTGATTTTTTATATGATGGCAGAGTTTTCATTGATGTTTGAAATTTACAATATTGAACATTATTGGTTTCATGTCTGTGCCTACTACAATCTTTATTTTGTCTGCTCTTTAGATTTTTTTTATTTACCAGTTCCACATGATTTTCCCATTAAAAGTCTGAGTTGCATCATGCTAGCCTGATTAGTGTACATTACAACTTTAGATCATTTTATAATTCTTCTTCAAACATTGATGACAGGTTATCAAGTGAAGACTTTTATTATTAATTTTTAATGCTTTGCTATGTTAAAGGCACATATTGTAAATGAAAGTTGTCGCTGTATAGTTTATATGTGCATTTTTAGTTTAAACTATTACTTTAATAAAAATTCAACTCTGAAAATAATTTCTTCAGTTCAAAAAATAGATTGGCCTTGTCAGTCAAGTCATTATAGTTGATTAATAGATGTATCCATCTGTGTAAACAGTGACCTAGCACACACAGGTGCTAGAAGAAATTACATTATTGTGTGCTTCAAAGCTTGTTTTCCGTTGTTTTGTAGATTGATTTCTATCAGGTTATATTGAATTTCAAAGGGTTTTAAGAGTAAATCTTGATCAGTTACTTTGCCACTCGATTATAATTTTGACACTGACCCAACACACAGAACAAGTCATAAAAATGGAGTTTAGAGGAACCTGCTAGACTGTGTTTACTTAGGCTTACAAAAATCCTCTGCCAAGATAATGCAAAAGAGGTTTGTCTTCCCAGGTTGAAGATTCAGGTATTAAAGGCAGAGCAATTTTGAGAACTGACTGAAAGACTTTAGGCAAAAGTGTTTGTCAGTTGATCTGGAATTATTCAGAGACCAATCACCAATGATATCCCACAAAGATCACTGTTAGGACCATTGCTGTTTTCCGTTCTTTGTCAATGCTCTAGGTATGCGTGCTGGGGGAGTGATCTATAAGATTGGAAATGACAGATGAAAGGAATGTGATACTTGAATACTGCACGCAAATCTAGATGTGTTATGAGAATGGTTTTGTAATTAGCAAATGATATTCAATGTATAAAAGTGTAATGTTATACACAGGGACAAGGTGAATATTGGACATGCATACAATCTCAAAGGTTCATGATTAATATAATAAAGCAATAGCTAGAGAAAATAATCTGCTGACTTGTATTAGTAGGGCAATTGAATGTAAGGTGAAGATTTCTACTGTAGCTGATCTTTATAATGGACCTTTTTTTGCCCTTATTTAGAATATTGCATCTTGTTATTAGGAAAACGTTAGAGTTTATTAGAAAGGATATAATATGAGATCATTTAGAAATATTTAATATGATCAAGTAAAGTCAGCATGGCTTCACAAAGGAGAAGTCTTGCCTGACAAATTTACAAGAATTCTTTGAGGAAGTAAGATGCAGGATAAATAAAGGGGAAACAGTGGATGTAATAGATTTAGACTTTCAGAAGACATTTAATGAGGTACTACAACTTAAGCTACTTAATAATAAATGTGTTGGAGGTAGTGTATTAATATGGATACAGGACTGGCTAACTGACAGAAGACAGATAAGTTGGAATAAGGGGACATTTCCAGGATAGCAACCTACAACCAGTGGAGTCCATAGGGATCAGTGCTAGGGCCACATGTATTTACAATATATAGTAATTACTTGGACGAAGAAAGTGAATGTGCTGCAGCCAAGTTTGGAAAAGACACCAAAACAAGTAGGAAGGCAAGTGGTGAGATGACATAAAGAGTCTGCAGGCGGATATATACAGGTAAAATGAGTGGGCAAAATCTTGACTGATGGAATATTATGTGGTAAAATGTGAGGTTACGCACTTTGGGTCAGGCCAAGTAGAAAAGCTGAATATTATTTAAAAGGAAAAGACTACAGAAAGCTACAGAACAGAGGGGCTTGGGAGTCGTCATCCATGAATTACAAAAAGTTAGCATCCAAGTTTAAAGGATAATAGTGAACGCAAATGGAATGTTTGTCTTTCGGAGTATTAAAGTAGGGAGGTTTCTCTAAATCTATACAAGGCTTTAGCTCGTCAGACTACAGCTGGAATACAGGGATCCTTGATTAATGAATGTCCGACTTACAAATACTCCAATGTTCGAACGCGATCCTATACAAAGATATTAAAGATACACATGAGAACATTTCCTGTACTTACAAACAACTACTTTATAATGTCCTGCATTTTTGTTCTGATTTGTATACAAATCAACCTGCGAACTGACTGAAGATTGGAACCCATTTGCAACCCAGGCAGTGTCTGTACTGTGAACAGTTTTGGGTCTCTTATCTAAGGAAAGGTATACTGCTATTGGAGGCAGTCCAGAGATGGTTCACTAGCCTGGTACCAAGTAGAGAGAAACTGTCTTATGAAGAGAGGTTGAGTAGGTCCAGTCTCTACTCATTGGAATTTAGAATAATGAGAGGCAACCTTATTGAAACGTAGAAGATTCTCAGGGAACTTGACAGGATAGGTGCAGAAAGGTTGTTGCCCCTAATGGGAGAGACTGGGTCTGAAGGCATAATCTAAAAATAAGGGGTGACACATTTAAGAGATGAGGAGAAATTTCTTCTCTCAGAGAACTGTGAATGTGTAGAATTCTTTACGACAGAAGGCTATTGAAGCTCATTCATTAAGTATAATCAAGGCTGAAATAGACAGATTTCAATGTTACAGTTGTATAGGACTTTGGTTCGACCACATTTTAAATACTGCGTACAGTTCTGGTCGCCACATTACCAAAAGGATGTGGATGCTTTGGAGAGGGTGCAGAGGAGGTTCACCAGGATGTTGCCTGGTATGAAGGGTGCTAGCTATGCAGAGAGGTTGAGTAGATTAGGATTATTTACATTAGAAAGACAGAGATTGAGGGGGGACCTGATTGAGGTCTACAAAATCATGAGAGGTATAGACAGGGTGGATAGCAAGAAGCTTTTTCCCAGAGTGGGGGACTCAATTACTAGGGGTCACGATTTCAAGGTGAGAGGAGAAAAGTTTAAGGGAGATATGCACGGAACGTTCTTTATGCAGAGGGTGGTGGGTGCCTGGAACACGTTACCAGTGGAAGTGGTGGAGGCGGGCACGATAGCGTCATTTAATATATATCTAGACAGATACATGAATGGGCAGGGAGCAGAGGGATACAGATCCTTGGAAAATAGGCGACAGGTTTAGATAGAGGATCTGGATCGGCGCAGGCTTGGAGGGCCGAAGGGCCTGTTCCTGTGCTGTAATTTTCTTGGTTCTTTGTTCAATCAGTAGGGGAATCATTAATAGGGAAAAGGCAGGAAAGTAGGGTTGAGGATTATCAAACCAGCCATGATCTCATTGAATGATGAAGCAGACTTGAGGGGCAGAATGGCCTTTCTTTGCTCCTATGTCTAATGGTCTTATGAGATTTGCTTTTGAAAGGAAGGCCACTATGTTATTTCCCATTTCAATTATCCTTGTAACTTTAAAAAAAGGCAGGAGCGCTGGGTCTCTACATTTTGGAGAAGCATAAACTTGAGCTGATTTGATCATGATTTATAAAATAATTTTTTAAAAAACATGGGACCTTGGAGTAGATTGTTTCAACTAAATAAGTAATAGAATGCCATAATTAGGTTATATATCAGAGGATAGTTCTTTCCTCAGAGAATGGTATTCTGTTGGATAGGCTGCCACCTCCTGCATTGGACATCAATTTGGTGAATTCCTTCAAGTGAAGGCTGTACTAGCTTCTGCCTATTGCAGAAAACACTTTGTACAAGAAATAGGCACTGTATCACACAAAACAGGGTCAGAGTCCATGTCCTAAGGAGACTGAAGAGGAATTTACCAGATATTTTTCCCATTAATTCGAGTAGAAATTTACCTTGTTTTTCACTTCCTGCAGAGGATTACGTGGCTTTTGCTTAGGTGTGAAGTGAATGCCTTTTGACACACAGGTTTTGTCGGAGAAGAGTAGACGGATTGTCTGTAGTTTTCACTATCTTTGTACAAGCTAGATGTCTATTATTCTCTATCTGATTTTATTGAATATGCAGTAGAGAAAAAGGTAATTTCATTCACCAAGTTCCTGCCAATGTTTATACTCAACTTCAGCTTCCTCCAGTATTTCCGTATATAACTCTACCAACTCAATGGCAGCAGATATGGATGCCCAAACAGACATGAAAACTGTTGAGGTGCTGGAAAAGGATCAGGAAGCAGGATGGAGTCCTCTATCAGCTGTTTGTGACAAAGAGATGAAGCCACTCATCCTTCCTAACAGCCCGAGGTCAAGTATGGTAACAGTTCATGATCAAGCAGGACACCAAGCAACAGGAAAGAAAATTGCCCTGCCTAGAGAGTGGTGCTACTTGCTGATGATACTGATGACTACTGTCAAAATTGAGAAGTTTACTTCAGCCAAAGGAGGGACGTGACCTCATTCCAGAATGGGACCCCTAGTTTACAAGAGACCAGTGGAAATCCTTGCAATGGATCTTTTGGTGCTTGACCCCAGGACTAATGGGACTGAGCACATTCTCGTATTCATGGGTGTCTTCTCCAAGTTCACTCAGGCCAATCCCACCACTAACCAAAAGGCATCTTCCATTACAAAGATCAGGTTCAATTGGGTCAATGGGGTGAGGAGTGGCAGATGGTGTTTGATTTGGATAAATGTGACATATTGCATTTTGGTAAAACAAACAAAGGCAGGCTTTATTCAATTAAAAATAGGGCCTTGGATATTGCTGTAGAACAGAGAGACCTAGATGTTCATGTGCACAATTCTTTGAAGTTTGCATCACATGTAGACAGGGTGATTAAGAAGGCATTTAGCATGCTTGCCGTCATTGTTCAGACCTTTGATTATAGGAATTGGGATGTCATGTTGAAGTTATACAGGATGTTAGTGAGGGCCTCTTCTGGAGGGTTGTGTCCAGTTATGGTTGCCCTGTTATAGGAAGGATATTATCCAGCTAGAGAGGGTTCAGAAAACATTTACCAGGATGTTGCAGAGAATGGAGGGTTTAAATTAAAAGGAGAGGTTGGATGGGCTGGGACTTTGTTCACTGGAGCATAGGAGGTTGAAGGATGCCCTTATAGAGGTTCATAAAATTATGAAGCCTATGGATAAGGTGAATGGCTGGTGTCTTTTCCATAGGATTGAGGATTTCAAGACTAGGGGGCATATTTTTAAGGTGAGAGGAAAAAGATTTTAAAAAGACTCAAGGGGCAGCTTTCTTACACAGAGAATGGTTGGCATGTGGAATGAACTTCCACAGGAAGTGGTGAGTACAGGTACAGTTACAACATTTAAAACTCTTTTAGACGAGTACATAAATAAGAACTGTTTGGAAGGATATGGGCCAAGTGCAGGCAGGTGGGACTAGTTTACT